TAAAACAGTGGACATTATTTAAGAATATCACTTACCACATAAATATCAACAAAAATATTTGGGACCTCACGATCACTACACAATACGGAGAAATGAAGATACCAGCGAACAACAATTTATAATATCCTTTTTAATTTTACAGCAGGTATATAATATATAATTACTTTTTGATTGCGATTTTTTTGCCTACTTAAAAAATCCTATTCATTTTTGTTATATAATTATACAACTATTTCTATTTGCATTTTACAGATCTCATCAAGAGTTCTTAATTGTATTGATAGGTGTAAAAACCATTTTTTCTTCCTACTAATAAAATGGTTTGCGTTTATTCCTGGACATTGGTTATCATGACTTGAGTTTTATTTATTTTTTGCGATTAAAAATATTTTGTTTTATTTTAGTAGTATTGTAAATAAGCAAATAATGTTTATATACTATTTCTGCTATTTATAGCATATTTACTTGTTCTGGAATTCACTACAAAGACATTTGTCTGAGCGAACAGTCGCATTAAAAGCAAGACATGATTTTTTGTTCGCTAGAAGCCGTCTATTATAAACTTGGCATACTGCACTCAATTGGCTTATTTTACATCTTCCATTTCCTTATGATACTCATTCCACGATTACGAAACTCTGTACCAGCTTGTACAAATTAAATAAATAGGTACCATATATTTTTGGAGTCACTTCTTCTTTTTTTTTAGAATGGCGTCTCCCTACGGAGGTTGGCAATCATAATAGATATTTTTATGTTTGAACTTACTACTCTACACAAATCAATCGATCTGTATTGATATTAATCACGTAGGTTCTTCAACCAAGAATTCTTCCTCCTTCTTCTTATGGTACCCAATCCAATTAGTGGATGTTGGCGACAATTCTGGCATACTCCTCTCGATCTTGTGTGGCTCTAAAAAATGCATGGGCATACGAGGTTTGTCCAATCCCTTATGTTTTAAGGCCAGGAGTATTTCTTTCTTCCGATGCCTCGTTTTATTTCTATCTTTTCTTCCATAATAATCTTTAAGAACTGGTACTTGGAATTTCGAAATATATGACTCAGACAAGCAGTTTTTCTTCTATTTATTATTGGCAGCAATTCTCGTTCTCTGCCCATTCGATTTGATACTTCGACATTTTTTGTGTGATGTGTCCAGGAATTTCAAGTAGTCTTCTAAATACCCACATTTCAAGGGCCTCCAATCGGTTCATCACATTGGCCTTTATGGTCCATGTTTCTACACCATATAGCAGTATGGAGTAAATGTAACATTTTACAAAGCGATATCGAAGCGTTAAATTAAGGCTGCTGTTGCTTAGCAAGGTTTTCATATTAAGAAATGCTGTTCTGGCTTGCTCAATCCTGCTACGTATCTCTATGTCTGTATCTAGATCTTCAGTTATCCAACTACCGAGATATCTGAACTTGGGGACCTTTTTGATGTTCTTGTTGTTTACTCTTATATTTAATTGCATATTTCCTGATCTACTAACCACCATTACCTTCGTCTTATTTATATTAATCTTCAAGCCCAGTCGTTCTTATTCAGTGTTTATTCTATCTATTAGTCGTTGTAGCGCTTCTTCGCTATTAGCTATTATGACTGTATCATCAGCATAGTGAAGATTACTAATAGTATTTTTACTCCGGCCAACAGACTTTTTTCCTTGAATCATTCCCTGTATTATGAGTTTAAAAATGTTTAAATATCTTGGTCCCCTTATCACGTGGCCTAGGTATTCCAGTTTCTTGTTTGTATAGTGGTGATTAGTTTTGTTTATTTACTAATTGACTCCAGTACTTCTGTATTTGTAATTTTATCGGTATATGATATTTTTTATTATTTTTAATACCTTGCATCACATATGCAAAAAACATCTGCATAACGGGCGGGATTCGAAACCTAGGGAACTCAATAAAACCTGAACCGCTTATCCATCAAGGATAGTTGACGTTTGAGTAGAGTAGGCACATAAAGGGTATTACTAACATCTGAGAGGAAGTTTATTCTACTCTGGCAGAACCAATGCCCCTACAAGTCCGTCTCCAGTGAGGGTGGTACAATAGCCATATCGTGGGGTTTCACCCCTCCGCAGTACCTGTGTTGCTTATGGACTCTATAACGGACCACCAAGCATGTTTGACAGGTTGTCGCCGCCTGTCCACTTATTTCTTGCTACAGGCACGTCTTACAGGCGCACGTTGAAATTGAGACTGGTCGTATAGAACCTGCAAAACCTTCTGTAAAGGTTACGTAGAACCAAAGAAGAGTGGTCTCACATGAGCTCAACTAGGAGCGAATAGAGAGATACTAGGAGCGCAGCCCGTTGAGCAGTACGACATATGGATTCGTCTTGTTTCCTGCAGCTCCCATAACAACTATTAACACCTCAAACAACGGCCATGTTACTGCGCCTACGACGGGACGTAGGAACTAGATCGCGTCTTGTATCCGCTGCTGCAATCCTGATACTTCAAGCAATCGCTTACCATCGCTCGTTTCATCTTATTGATCAACTTTTACGATCGGAAGGAACCAGCAACATAACAGTATTCGGTTCGTCCTTTCGATCCGAAGAGACAACCGGATATCCCATTGTTCTCCTCTTCCGATAGGTAGGAACCAGCACATTAGCGGTATTTTTTTCATCCGTTCGCTCGTAGGAAGCTACCAGGATTAGGCCGCACGCTAGACATAATGATACGAGTGAAGATATAGAAAAAATGAAAAGACTTATTATTCAAGGAAAGGTGGAAGACCGAAGATCACGATGAAGATTCCAACAAGATGGATCGACCAAATTACCGGAAGATACAAAAGGTCTATGCTAAATGCTATGTTAAAATAAATTATCAGCGACAGAGATCTTTGAAGACGAACCATATACTAGATCACTACGACCACTACACTCTCTCAGGGAGGTCATCACTGAAGACAGAGAGCTGTTCATTTACAAGATCTTTAAACATTACTAAATCTAGTAGATGAAGCAAGTTATCGGAGAGGCTTTAAAATCAATATTTCAAAGACAAAGTGGGTGGCAGTTGGAAAGATCAATATAGATCAAGGTCTGATTTCTCTTAATGAAGAGGAGATCGAAAGGGTAAATCATTTTAAATGCCTTGGCAGCTGGTTAAATGTAAATTGTGACTCTGATGAAGAGATAATAAACTAGGATCGAAATATCACGTAAGGCTTTTATGACGTGGAAACCAGTTTTATGCAACAGAAACCTATCGATGAATATTCGTAAGAAGGTCCTGAAATGTTATGTGTGGTCCATCCTATTGTATGATTGTGAGACATGGACGTTAAAAAACACAATGCTAAACAAGTTAAAAGCATTTGAATTGTGGTGCTATAGACGAATCCTAAATATATCGTGGGTTTCGCACATTTCCAATGAAGATATTCTTCAAATGATCAATTCTGAACGTCTGCTCATAAACACCATAAAGAGGAGAAAAACAGAAGACTTCATCCATATAATTAGAGGACCTAAATACCATCTACTTCGTCTTATAATACAAAGAAAAGTGAAAGGAAAGAGATGGATTGGTCAAAAGAAACTTTCATAGCTGCGTAATATTAGGCAATGGTGTGGTTCCACAGTAGAAGAATTATCTCGCGCAGCAGCCGACGATGAATACAGACACGGCACCCAAAGAAGATCAGCTCTTTAATTGTCGCATAAATGGCTCCGATTAACGCAAAAATGAAAGAGTATAGGTAAGATAGTTAAAACATCTTTAACTTCAACTTGCTAATCATCCGATGCAGTGAATTGCTGAGTCGTACGTTCCAGAAGGTAGTAGAAGATGGAGACCAAAGAAGACCTGGTAAGAGACTCTTAAACAAGATACATCTGTGAAGTGAATTGCTAGGTAGGTATCCCCATTTTTTGTCTCTATTTTTTTACATAGATATTTCTCCTCGTTTTTTGTTTTTCTTAGAAGAAATTTTAAATATCTTTGCTATCATTTTATTAAATATTTGTTATTTACTATAAAATACAAAATATAAATATAAAATAGTATAAAATCAAATTTCTAGACTTACTCGTTTTTCCTGAAGGACTGGCTAGTCAACTTTTGTTGCCATAGCGAAAAAACCAAAAGCAAAGTCTTGTGATCAACATTGGATGATAAGTCTAAATTAACCACATTTCGAAGGCATACACCAAGGTTATTTACAACAGAATAAGCAAAAAATGCGAGGATAACATTGGAGATTCGCAGTTTCGGTTTCAGAATTCTCTTGGGACAAGAGAAGCACATTTTTAGTCTACAGGTACTCATCCAGTGCTGCAAATATATGAACAAAGACGTGTACATATGCTTTATAGACTACGCAACATTCGATAACGTAAAGCACGAAAAGATAATTGAAGTTTTCCATAAGATCGGAGTCGACTACAGAGACATTCGAACAATAGCGAGTCTCTATTGGGGTCAAACAGCTAAAGTGAAAGTAGGATCTACATTGACTAATAAAATTGAGATCAAGAAAGGGGTACGACAGGGCTGTATCTTGTCTCCTATTTTCTTTAATATATACTCAAAAGAAGTATTTAAGACAGCGCTGGAGGAAAGCACAGAAGGCATAAAGATAAATGGAGAAATAATTAATAACATAAGGTATGCTGATGACACTGTAATTCTAGCAAGTAGCATGAAGGAACTAAGTTGCCTAGTGACTAAGATACAAAAAACAAGTGCACCAATACGGACTCAGAATAAATATTACAAAAAACCAAATGGATGTTAGTAAGCAAAACCCAACAACCACCACAGCAACTAATATTAGACAATAAAAGAATTGAACACGTGGATTCGTACATCTACTTAGGAACAACAGTTAACTCAAATTGGGATCAAGCGAAGGAAATACGTATAAGAGTAGAAAAAGGCAAGAGCATCGTTCACTAGCATGAAGCAAATTTTCACCTCTAAAAGCCTCACCCTACCTCTCAAAATTTGACTTCTGAAATGTTATGTATTCCCGGTTTTGTTATTTGGAATGGAGGCGTGGACAATGACCGCAACATTGATGAAAAAAGTAGAGGCCTTCGAAATGTGGGCTTACCGACTTATATTACGTATATCCTGGACTGAGCACGTAACCAACGAAGAGGTACTACGCCGGATAAGTAAAGAGAGAGAGGTAGGAATAAGTATAAAGAAAAGAAAGTTGGAATACTTGGGTCACGTTATGAGACAAAATAAATATAGAGTACTACAGTTGATCGTTCAAGTAAAAATAGACAGCAGAAGGGGTCCAGGGAGGAGAAGACACTCGTGGATCCAAAACTTACGGCAATGGTTCAGATTGTCATCTGCTGAACTATTCAGATCTGCCGTAAACAAAGTCAGAATAGCCATGTTATTGCCAACGTTCGGAACGGACAAGGCACATGAAGAAGAAGATAAAATCAAAACGACAACGTCTGATTCAGATTGGATCCAAACTCGTCAACATGAATGGAAAGCTGTACCTTTTAATTTCGATAATTACATTATCATGTCAGATTTGAAAAGAAAAACAGAGTTAACCCAGGAAAGTAGAATAAAAAATATAGAATCCAACACTAATATAATATCAATCGGTCCTACGGATTCTGAGGGAGGAGAAAAAACGAAGATATTTGAGGAAACCAACCTTGGTTATAATAAGAAAAAATTATTATACTTGCTCGTATTTTATTTAATATTTGCAGAGTTAATTTTTTTTTAAATTTGCAACTCTAAATAATGCATTTTCCAAATGCAATTTTTTCATGACATTAGTTAAAAAAATTGCCTGACATTCTCACGAATCGAATGTATCAAACTGCATCTCAATTCATCTTACTGTGCCGATTGTCAAAGGTTAAGTCGATTTTTGTGCTTCATTGCCTCGACTACATGACTTGTACCGTTGATTGAATAACCCAAATTTGGGTTACTCAATCAACGCTTGTACACAGAAGATCACGAGCATTTCATGATAATAGGTGGCGATTTTAATGCCAAAATAGAAATAAAACTGATCCAGTTGAAAATGCACTTTTTAATGGTACAGGACACTAGGCATTCAGACACAAAAATGCACTTGAAACTGGTTAAAATACTCTTAAATTTCCTGTTGAAATTTCCCACAATTGGCACTAAAGTGTTAATTGACACTGAAAGTTAAAACGTCAAAAACCATTAATTACTATTTAACTGGGAATAAGCCACAATTAAAGATAAAAATACGTTTATTGACGTTTCAATTTCCACTTCGGAAATCGTTCTCAAAATACAAACAGTAAATTAAACAAATTTTGTTTTTTGTTATATAGTGAAAAATTCTTCTAATAATTTAATTTTATCTGACTCATTTATATTAACAATTCAGACATACATTATGCATTTTAAAGTAGACGACTTTAAAATGATATTGCCAATATTGTTGAGTTGCGCTCCTGGGACGACTTTACTTATAAGCTAGTTCATTCGATTACATGAAATCAACTTTAACTTGAGAATATCCGTCAGAAAAAAATCATAGCATATAATTAATCTTTAAAAAGACAAACATATGACATGATGACAGTAAAATACTCCTGTTAGTGATTCCATAGTAAATTATGAGGGAAAAACCAGGAAAAAAACATCATAATACTATCCCGACATTGTAAGTATTTGTTCGTGAATTTAGTTTATCTTCAACAAACATCAAAATTCTGATTTTATATGTTACGTTATTTAAAAAACAAATAATGTATCCTCTATATGTTACTGACTTACTAATACTGGTATTTTCTTACTAATAACTTCCTCTTCCAATATTGGTAACCAGATCCTACTACATTCTGCCTAGGAATTTGCGACTCAATTGGCCTCATTTAGCATAATTAGAGCCGCTTCTTTGATTTTTTTTTACCATCCGTTTCTTTTAGGACTACATTTGAATTATTCCATAGAACCCTATGTTCATTATCCAATGCGTGTTTACATATTTGAGATCTATCAAATTCTCTATTTTTAATATGTGTGTTTAATATAAGTGTATATTAATCGTGTTATAATATTTATAATCTACTTAAAATGCCACATAGTTTCAAAGTTTCGTTTATTTAAATATATTGAAACAGAAATAACAAAAATGCATACTGATTTTGGTGACCTACGCCACTGAGGAGTTGAAACTCGCGTTAGATATTGGAAATTATTGTTTATTTATTTAAATAAGGAATGCCTAACAAATTGTTTAGCAAGATCGTAATAAAATTAATGCTCAGCACATCCATTTTCACTTACGATTTTATTGTGATGTCAGTTACATTTGTACGCTCTTTGTTCTTATGGGTTACCTACATCGATGAGTCTAAACTACTTTTTACCAATGCCGCGTACAGATAGTAAAAATCAAGGACTGTTCTTAAATAGTTTCCCAACAATAAATTCTCTTATATGATAATTACCATATAAGTTTTTGCAAACGCAATTTAAGAAATAATTTATATAATATAAGTATTAATAAGACTAACGAAGACTTTAAAGGAAGAAACTAGAAACCAAAACATTGCTTAAGCTGAAGTTAAAAAAAAAAGTAGAACATTTATAATGGTTTCGTGTTAAACAGGTTTCTTAAAAGAATACTTCTTCTATAATTTCAATTTCAACTTCATATAATTTATGATCTTGATCCTATCTCTATCTATCTATACAGCCCTTGCTCTCAAATTTTGAACGTAAGGCCTCCTCTTTTCTTCCTTCTACCACGTCTCTCTATTGTAGTTTGTATCCACTTCGGGCCTGCGTGTTTCTTTAAGTCATCTGACCATCTCATTAGTGGGCTTCCTCCTTTTCGTCCAAGTTTAAGAACCGTAGGTGAGAACAGGAAGTATACATTGGTTGGAGACTCTTGTTTTTAAATATTGGGGGTATTTTCTATTTTTTATTATATAGGAAAGTTTTCCAAAGGATACTCAAGCCAACCGTATCCTTCTCTTTATTTCTCCGGTCTGATTTTCTTTATTTAATTTAGGTTGGTTGGTCATAATTTTCGTTTTATTATAATTCATTTGTAAACCTAATTTTTTTGATTTGCTATTATTAATTCATCCATTATATTTTATTATTCTTCCCTTTTATCTGTTATTAATACAATATCGTCTGCATATCTCAAGTGATTCAAGTATTGACCATATATGTTAATACCCCGTTTTTTCCATTGTAATTTCCTCACAACGTCTTCCAAAGCTTGATTGAATAGTTTGGGTGATATAGTGTTACCCTGTCTGACTCCTCGCCGTATCTTAATAGGCTCCGTTTGTTCAATTATTTTAATGGATGTTGTTGCTTGATCGTATATATTGGAAATTAAGTCCGTATATCTATAGTCAATTCTCTCATTTTGTAAATAGTTTTTTACTGCCCAATGTTACACCTTATCGAATGCTTTTTTAAAGTCTACAAATGCCATATATTCTTTTACTTTTTTCAATTAATATTTTTATCGTAAGCAGATGGTCGCTTGTACTGAATCCTTTTCTAAAACCGGCTTGCTCTCTTGACTGGTAATTGTCTAACTTAGTTGTTAATCTGTTTGTTAGTAGTTTAGTTAACAGTTTGTACATTACACAAGTAGCGTTATGGTCCTATAGTTTTTCAGATCTTTTCTATCACCTTTCTTATATAGTAATAGTGTTATTGCCTCGTTCCATGTGGTGGGTATTTGTTTTGTGTTTAATATTTTATTCATTAGTACATAAATGACTTCCACAGTAGTTTTCCTCCCATTTTTAAGCATTTATACAGTTATTCCATCTTTCCCAGAAGATCTGTTATTCTTCATTTCTTTGAGTGCCTTTTTTATTTCATTTTTACTGATTTCTGGTTGTAGGTCAGAGTTAACGTTCTTTATTTTCAGTTGTAACTGATTACGGATTTCTTGGGTTGGTTTTTGTTCTGTTTTATAGAGATTTGTATAATATTCGTGCGTTATCTGTAAAATTTCTTTTATATTATTGGTCCCCACTCCTTCTTTGTTCTTTACGCTATTAATTTGTATGTTTCCCAGGTTCTGCTTTAAGCACTTCATGTTTCTAATTTTTTCAAGTGTTTTTTCTATCTTGTCTGTCTGTACTCTCCGTTTATACTCCTTGGTATTTTTCTAATGGTTTTGTTTATTTCTTTGTATTCCATTTTATTTCCTTTATTTCTGTCCCTTGTTCTAGGAATATTCTTCTTGTGTTCATAAGAATCTTTGTTTCCTGGGATATAAAACTTTCTTATTTTATTGTTGTCTGTGCTATTTCTTTACCCACTTTCATTAGAGTTTCAGTAAATATTATGTTTATTTCATCTATATGTTTGTGTTCTATATCTTCCTTGGTCGGCAATATTTCCTTTATTCTTTCTTCGTATGTCTGTTTTTCTTGTTTTAGTTTTTTCACGTCTAATTTCTGATTAGTTTCCATTTTCTTTCTTGTTTCAAATCTACTATCAATGATCAGCTTGGCTCGGACTAGTCTACGGTTTCTACCAGTTAAGAAGCGATTTAGGGCTGTTACGTCTTTAACCATGGATTTTTGCGTTGAATGACTATAATTAATTTCATTTTTAGTTTTACCATTGGGACTAATCCATGTCCATTTTTTGGGGGGTTTTTTCTTAAAGAATGTATACACTGCATATAGTTGATTCTCCTCCAAGTAATTCATCAATGTTTGTCCTCTATCAATTCTTGTTTGTCCTCTATCATAATCTTGATTATTAGAAACAAACCGAGAGGTAGGTAAATCATTTCTTTTGATTAGACCTAAAAATTTAAAAAGTTTTAGATTTGGGAATGGAAATACAAAAACATTTCGCATTGTGTAAGTTCTTCCCGAAATGTCGCTATTGACATTTTATTGTGCGCTACTTGCTGATGCAGATAGTAGGCATTGCCAATTGCAATTGCATTTGACCCCACGTCTGAGAGATGTGTTTTACGATTTCGTGTGATCTAAAATTATATAGGTATCGTAGAGAAATAAAAATTATAAAAAATTTGAATTACCTGAAATGTCTATATAACTTTTGTGCTTATTATACTCAACAATGGATTTAGGCTTCTCCATATCTTCTGATTTTTTATGCACAGAAACCATTTCAGGTAAACACATGTTTTTCCACTTTTTTACAAATATATAAGTATTGCTTTCTTCGGGAAACAACTTCGCTCTTTGTTAGTTTTTTGTTTAAGGCATTTTTTGGATTATTTTTTCTGTTAGTAAGTAGGAATCTCAATACGTATGTTTTATGTTTTAGCAATTCAAGAGCCAACTCTACAGAGGAGGAGTAGTTATCTATACAAACTGTTTGCCCCTTTACTAGTAAATTCGTTGTCAAATATGTTACTACTTTTGTTAGGACAGTATAATTCTCAGCATTAT